CCAGTTAGCTCAATTGGTTAGAGTGTGGTGTTATAACACCAAGGTCAAGGGTTGAGATCCCTGTACTGACCAGCCACCAAAAATAAAAAAGTTCCAGTCTCAGATTCCAGGAATGAAATAAAAAATGTTATTCATTTAGAAATATGTTTCACTTTTTTACCTAACAAATTCAGCAATATTTTGCTTATTAAATGTGGTAAGAATACAGCACCAAAGAAACAAACCATCAGTGGAACTATTTATTCTCAACACATAGAAAAGCAATTTTCATAAAACATAAATAGGACCTAGTGACATAGTTACCTGTCATGTTGCAGTAAACTTTCAGAGGCCCCAAAGGTCCACTGCCATCAGGATCTATCCAGTAGTAATTTGACGTCTGGCCCAGGTGTTTGTAGGCTTCGCAGGAAGGCTCGTAGATAGCTGGAATGAAATATCCTACGTGAGCACAGCACAACACAGATGCCTCCCCAGGTAAATGCCCCCATAACACATCAAATGCTGGCAAATCACTGTTTAAGCGTATTTCCTCTTGTTAGAATGAACATTGTTTTTTTCTCTAATTTAAGTTCATGACTTGGTTCTATCTCTAAAAGTGCTTCTGACCTAACGAACAGAGATTGTGAGGTGAGGTCTAGATTTATAGTTGGGGAAAGGACTCCAACCATCAATAGATTGTTAAACAAGTGTAATGTTTATTTCGTTGGGGCTCATAATCATTGAAAAAACATTTAACTTACAGTTATTTATAGATATCATATCCTTACTCTAAAAGGCTTTATTCTGAGAAGTCATAAATATTGGCTGTTTCATTGGGCTATCAACTAAGAGATACAAGAAATTTCCAGCACCCCCCACCCCTGCCACACATGCACACACAAACATATTTTTTGCATATTTAGTATAAATTTTCCACAAATAGTATGTGGTTTCTAATCTTCCTTTATCTCAGAAAAAAGTAGAAAAAAGAAATTTCCCTGAGTCATTTTGTTTGTTACAGGTGCTTTAATTACATCAAATCTAGTTTGTGTAGAAAACCCCAATGTTCATGTAATTAAATTATAGGTTATTTTCCATTATTTTCCTTTGTCATTTTGTTTGTTACAGGTGCTTTAATTACATCAAATCTAGTCTGTGTAGAAAACCCCAATGTTCATGTAATTAAATTATAGGTTATTTTCCATTATTTTCCTTTTTGTGTTCACGCTCATGACAAATTTCTTTTTCTCACAGAGACTGCACCTGTTTTCAGAAGTACAAAATGGACATTTACATATCTGCTTTGTAGTTAGAACATCTAAAATGCTATTGAGAAAACTTTTTTAAAACAGCTCTATACTGATATTTATGGAGAATATGAAAGCTCTCTTCACAAAGCTAAGAAATATTTCTGGTAAAAGTCTGTCTATCTGATATGCACACACTGGAATCTTTGGGTAAAGTGCACTGGAGTGATACTTCCAGGATCTGTCGTGTGTTACATTATGAAATAGGAGGTTTGATTCTAGGACCTCCCTTTTTTACCTTCTTCTCTAACAAGTTCTCTGTGCCTTGCTTGGCTTTCTGTGGTTTTCTTGATATAAGGATGTTAGATCTTCCATTCTATTTCATTTCAACAACAACACACCAGAGGAAAACATTTCTACAATTCTTTGATATACTTCTTCCTTCCTCCCTTCCTTTTGCAAGTAGTTATTGAGTGCCTACGGTGTGCTTGGCAGTGGGGTCGTCACTGCCAATACAGCTGTGAACAACACAGACCTCTAGAGCAGGGTTTTTCACGGATTATTTTGGTTTTGTTTGTGTATAAAGTGCTATCAGAAGAGGATGTGTCTAGAAAGGTCAGCAGAGCCTATCCATCTTCTGCTCCAGAGTAATTACTATCATGCCTGCTTTCAATCTCCTAAGTATCTTACTGAGATAAGAAATTAAATGATTGCTCTAATTTTGAACATGATACCAAGCAGAATATTGTAAGAAAAGGTAGGGAAAAGTATTTTTGAACTTGAAGCAGCAAGATGCTGTAATTAGATGTAGGCTTTAGAAAGAAAACTCCATGTAGAAAACTGATAGATTTTAGGGAAGTGATTCAAAATGTAAAGAGAGGATTTTTGGCATTTGTGGCCCATAGGCCAGATGGAAGATGACCAGCACTTGAACTAAAGCAACGTGACAAAGGATAAAGTAGATGGGACTGATTCAAGTGCTTTTAAGATCAACAGGACACAGAGGGAGTTAGGAACAATCTAAACTCACAATCCCTTAAAATAAACTAACTGCCTTACTAATTTTTCATAGCCTCTACACAGATTATTACAATTTTTATGTATAGCTTAAAATAAGATGTCAGGTTCAGATTCTAAAGTCTTCCTTTAAGTCCCTATGGCTGGTCTGCCATTAAAACCTTTCACCTTTTTTTTTTTATTATTAAAGCATAATTGGTTATACATACTTGTGGGGTACAGAGTTGAATATCAATACCTGAGTACAACATAAGGTGATCAAATTGGGATAATTAGTACGTTCATCATTACACAATGTAGTCATTCTTTGTAGCCCTTTCCTCGCTCACCCCCCTCTCCTCCCTGTTTCCCACCTCTGGTTACAGTTCCGTTCTCTACTTTTGAAAGCTCAACACATTATTATTTAGTAATTCATCATTCTTATTTCCTTCTGCCAAAACCCCAGTCATTGCCCTTATCACGTGGTAACTGGTTTACAATAATCACCCTGTTAATTGATCGTTCTACCCAAATATCTCTTTACTTTTCACTAAAGTATACTTTCTAATTAACATTAGTATAGTCTCAAAACATCACTTTCATTATGTTCAAAAATGTGTTAATGTTTCTTCAATATCTATGACTTTATGTCACGGATCATCATCTCTGCATAGAGGAACTACCATAATCCTAATAGGTCTTTCATGGTTTCTGCAACTTGCCCATGTAAACCGTGTGCTCTGGTCAGGCAACATTGCCTCAGGAGCTCGCTTAACTCATGCTCTTAACTCATGCTCGCTTAACTCAATCCCTTTCTGGGATTGCTTTTATCTGAAACACACTACAAGTCTCTTTCTCAATCTACAAAGCTCTCAGCCAGAGTCAGTAATTAAGGCAGAAGTGGTAAGAGACTTGGCTCTGTGGTTAAACAGACTTGAGTTCAGATTTTCACTCCACATAATACTACTTATATAACATTGGCAAAGTTACCTAACCTCATTTAGACTTGTCTGGAGAATAAATATAATAGGTGGTGTTATGAGGGTTATAGGAAACAATCCACATAGTTTGAATTACATAGTGTCTGACCCATGGTAAGCAAAGAATAGGTGGCATTTTTGGCATTTTTATTGTCAACATTTAATTGTTATTTAGGTCCCATTCAAATTCCTCTTTCTTAAGGAGACTCTCTCTAATCAATGTCTGTATTGTTGTACAATGCAGGGCACTCATTGCTTATCTCATGTACTGTAATACTTGGTTACAGTTGATTTAGAATTGACAGACTATTGTTAATTGAATTTCACATATGAAAATGTTGTTTCCTGATAGGACTGCGAATCACCAGGAGGGCAGGAGCTGTGAAATGTGGTTTTCTTTTCTACTGCATATAATCTAACATGATAGATGTTTAAGGAAAAGTACCAGAACTGAATTTAAAAACTTATTTTGTTCTTCATCTTATTCTGATTTTGACAAAGGATTATTAGTTGGCTAACCAGAGAAGCATATGCATATTATAGCATGACAGAATGGTGTTTGTAGGTAACTACTGCATTTCTAGGTAAGGATATAGGCATTTTAACAAAGGGTATATGCAGACCTTAACCCAAGTAATTAACTAGTAATAGATGTTGAAGGCATGTGGATATGGGAAATTGGTTAATCAAGAAATTTTTCTCTTTTTCTGTAAAGTGTAACAATTCTTCTGCTTGTCTTTAACCAATGACAAGACTACTAGCTGTTTTTGCCTCATCAACACGAATAGGATATCAGGTACCTCAGTCAAACTTGTGCATGTTTGAACATCACCTAGAGGGCCTGATAAGACAGGGTTTCCTGGGCCTCACCCTGAAGAGTCTGACTCAGTAGACAATTTGTTGTTAAAACAGATCCCAAGTGATGCTGGTGCTGCAGGTCCTCAGACTACATTTTAAGAATCATGAAAATAAAAAAATTAACTCAAGAAACGTAGACTAATTTTTAAATTTACATTTAAATATCAATAAAAAGTAGGTTACTGAAAGGCAATACAGTAAAATTTTAAATATGATAAGTTTAGAATGCTACCTCACTTCACTCAAAATAATAAAAATGAAATGAGATTCAAAACTTTAAATAAAAATACAATGTTCAAGGAAATATACTTGTATGAATGAAAATGTTTGAAAAGAAATACACCTAAACAGTAACTGTGGTTATCTTTGAGCAGTAAGGTTATGAGTGTTTACAAACTTTTCATACTTTTCTGTATCTCCCACAGCATTTTATAATGTGCATATGTAATGTCACTTTATTATTAAACATACACCTTCAAAGTATGTATCTGGAATCACGACCTGAGGCAAAATGGCAAGGATAGAGGTGATATAGTAAAATTGAATGAGTTTTAAAATATAAGGAATTGAGGGATTTTAGTTCAAATATCCTGTCTGCCACTTACTCTCTAGAAACTCTCCTTAACCTTTGTTTTTTAAAACTGTAAATTGAAGGCAGTAATACCTCCTTCACCAAGTTATTGTGAAGATGAAATGAAATCGCACACTTTGTAAACTAAAAAGAATTGAGTATATTTAATCTTTTATGCAGAGAATGAGCTAATGAAAGTGTTTGCCCTGCACGCCCCAGCCAGTTAGCTCTGTGCCCAGTGGAATCCTAGCTGAGTTGCACAGTTTTTGCACATCGAGCCCCAGGAGATGACATAACACAACGGCTAAGGCAATAACCACTGAAAAATGAGATGGGTCTGAGCCATCATCAATATTGGAGTTTTGCCAGTAGACGGCTGAAGAACAGAAAGGCAATTGGGCTGATGGCAAAATAAATAGACTCATCAAGTCCATTGATTTATTGGTAAAGTAATTTTTCTCTGTTGCAACTCCAAGTCCCAAATAAAAGGTCTCATATTATTCTATAAATCTATAAATAAATCTCAACTGTTCAGATATTACTGTTAAACACATTACCTTGAATTACAAAGCATGTAAAAACTCAGAAAGTGACAAATCCTAAATATCTTACTCATTTTCACTAAACAATGAATGTTGTCTGTGTGGCACCATATGATATGTACAATGGAAAATGATAAAGTACTATTCTTGTCTTAGTTTCCTATTGCTGCTATAACAAATGACTGAATGCTCGTAACTTACAATAACTCAAATTTATTATCTTACAGTTGTGGAGATAATAATACATTTA